GGCATCGGCGTCGGCTTTTCCATCATTTATAGTGCTTTGCTCACGAAAACCAATCGCATATCTCGCATCTTCCATTCGGCATCCAAGTCGGCGCAGCGCCTTAAATACATCAGCCCCCAGTCCCAGGTGGTGATCACGACCTCCTTGATCGGTACGTAGTGGAACACGATATTCGAGTGTATAATTCATTCATTTTTTATTTTGTCCATTTTCTAATCAACCCTGTTTTGGACACTCGAATGACAAATGAATAATCGAACTGGTTCGTTACAATCGAATCGACAAGTCGTTCTAACCCGTCTGTCTGAACCACTCGCCTCTCGTAACCTAGAAACATCAAATTTTGAACGATTATCCTCCGAGAGTCCAATCTCCAGCAACATCCCCCGTTTCGAAGTAATCAATAGGAACCAATATCAAATACTGTTTCTTAACCTGAGATATTTGCTCAAAAAAAAAAAAATTTCAATATAGATTCTTATCGATTGTTTGGAATCGGGACGAGCTATCTATTATCGGAGACAACATTTCAAGTCCCTCGACACAAGATCGACAAGGAGTTTTTGTGTAATTTACTTACAGTCAGAAAATTTAAAAATCCTATTTCAATTTTACTTCGTAGAATGCCCATGTTTTTAAAAGAAAATTCTCATGTCGATAGAAAAAGATCCTAAAATATATTTTAATAAAACTAGGTAAATATTTTGGGGAATTATTATAACACCTTCTGAGGGCGGATCATTTGAACTTTTTACAAATTCACTAAACTTTTTTGTATTTTACTTACACTCAAATAAATTAGAAAATTAATCTAAAATATAATTTTATAATATTAGGGAAATATTTCGTGCCCGTATTATAATACCTTCTTAATTTAAAAAAAAAAATTTAATATATGCAATTTAGATAGTTATGAGTACTGTTAGAGTACTGAATACAGATCATCCGGATCATATAGCTCTAAAATATTTAATAAATACGTTTGTTTACCAATTGTTTAGCAATTCAAGTTTTGATCACGATGATTTGGATGATTGTGGAGCCACCGGGAACCCGATTTTATTACCCGGACCGCACCGAGGTCATCTTGAAATGCAAGATACAGGACATGTCCTTTCTTTTCTCGCAGCTGTACAACATGATACTTATTACAATTTGTACGGTTTACGCTATAAAAACCCGCAAAATACCCGAAAATTTTAACGAATCCAAATTTATCGGATTCACTATGTACACAACATGCATCATTTGGCTGGCATTTGTACCAATTTATTTCGGTACTGGAAACTCCTACGAGGTAAGCTCTATAAATATTTACTTATTGGATACAATTTTTTGTTTTTCAAGAAGAGCCAAGAAAAACAGGGCCCATGTCCACCTCCAACTCTTGTGCTAACTGGCTTCCTTAAATAACTGGATTTGAATTTGGGCTTTCCCAACATTTTTTTTTACAATGCTTAATTTTCATTATACCCTGAACCTATTGCATAGAGAAGAAAGAAGCATCTCCTATCCCATAAGGTATATACATATATATTCTTGACCAGCATATTGATGCTATTGAGCCGCGTCGATCTAGCCATGTCCGTCTTTCTGTCCATGCGTCTGTCCGTATGTATGAACGCAAGGATCTCAGAAACTATTAGAGCTAGAAACTTGAAATTTTAAATGCACATAGGTTCATGCGCAGTACGATAATCGATTGCTTGCTCCGTTTCCAAGCAATCGATCAACATCGATATCGAAATCATGTTTTTTAAGAAAATTCTTTAGGTTTTTAGAGGTAAGTAAATCAGGTTAAAACGCCAATTATTGCCCACCGATTTAAGCCACAATTTAAATACAATTGACTTTTTGAGAATATATAATTTTTCTATAGCACAATAAGATTGGAACAGAGAAGTTATTAAAGAAAATGTATTTGTGCTTGGATTTTTGTTAATTTTTGGTGTTTTACTGATTAAGCAAACAAGCTCGTTGCGCAAGAAAAGGGGCTTAGGGTATCCCTTATTCAGGTACTCCCGAGTAGAGTCTCTTGTTTGATTCATTCATTTATTCATTTCATAATGCGACAATTTACTTTATCAATTTCACACAAATCTTGTTTCATGTTGAAACTCTCGAAAGCGACAGCTACGAAGCAAAAAAGATTATCCTGACTGACTGACTGACTGAGTGATTGGTGATCAACGCACAGTCCAAATCGTAAGAGCTAGGAAGCTGAAATTTGCGCTATAGTTACCTTATGTGATGAAGGTGCACGTTAAGACTGGGGTTCGGGAAATTCCACCCGTAAGTATGGAAAAATCGCGAAAAACGTTTGTATGAAACTTTTTTGTTTGCCATCCGATTGGCCTCAAACCCGATTTCAAAGTGTTTTCTTCAAATTCATTTGAGGGGTGTTTCACACTTTTTCAAAAATGAATTCGTCCTTGGTGGAAATGGGGGTCAAAGATTTGGTGGGTAACGTTTCGCGCTCAAATTCATTTTCAAAGCTCTATGTGAAAAATCTTTTGAGACGTGTTTCACATTTTTTTTATTCAAAATCTAAGCTCCTTCGATGGAAAGTGCATTTTAAAGTAATGTTTTGAGAATTTTTAATGTATAAGAATATAATGAATACATGTTTCAGCGATTTGGGAAATTCCACTTGAAACAGTAGTAAAATGACGGAAAACATTTGTATGAGAGTAGTTTATTTACTCTCGGCTCAGTTTCAAAATCATTTTCAAAACTATTCGAGAACATTGATTTTATAACATAGGTGCCACGGGCAAGGCCGTGGCTATACCCGCTAGTTATTAATAAATTTTATACATCTCTTGTCTAGATCCAAATAACTACATTGTGCATCTCCATCAGCTTAAGTGCATCCGTGGCCCTGGTCTGTCTCTACTCTCCGAAGGTGTATATATTGGTTTTCCATCCCGACAAGAACGTGCGCAAACTAACAATGAATAGCACAGTGTACAGACGCTCTGCCGCAACTGGAGGAGCTCCGGGGGTACCTACAAGTTCCGGATATGGTCGCACACCCATTGGATTAAATGCGGCAGACGCAGGCATAGGCCCTGCTGCTAAAGCTGTGTCTGAGCGACAGCCTCAAAGCGATTGCGAAAACAGTCCGTGCTCTGAGCTAGATCAAAATCAAACGGCGGTAATTCATAGGAACGAAGAATGCGTCAATGGTGCTCCGACATCCGACAAGTGCGATTGCCGACTAGGTGCTGCAGACCCATCCTGCACTAGAATTAACGATTAGATAAATCGCGAGGTGCACCCAAGATTGACATTTTGTGCTCTGAGTACTCTCCACATACTATGAGTATTATCCACATATGATGAGTAATCTCTACATACGATGAGTACTATCAACATACGATGAGTACTATCCACATACTATAAGAACTATTTAATACGAGCAACGGACAGTTTTTGTTGAAATGTTTGCTTTTCTCACATAAGTAGTTGCTTTAATTTAACACAGATCGCTTACTAAATTTAGAATATAGTCTGCGAAAAATACAAGTTGCTAACTTTCCCTAAAAACGAAAATTGTTGTAAGGATTTTTTAAATTTAGTCAACTGAAAGGTGGCCGTAAGTCTTTCTTTTGGTCGGATTGTACAATTAAATTAAATTAAAATTAATTAAATTAAATTAAACAGAAGTATATTGTTTAAGTGTTGTGCTTTCTGTGCTGATAGTTTATCTATTCTTAGTAAGGCCAAATGAATACAAATACATTGTATTTTCTAAAGGCGGTAAACGATTTGAAAGGTGTTTTAAAAATATGATGTGTTTTTATTTTACGTTATTCAAGGCTTAGCAAATTATAATATTTTACTTGCCTATCTGGGCCTATCTCCGAAATGAAAGAACAAGCCATCAAAAATAATGTTTGTTATTTAAAATTTGTTCAGTTGTTCATTAGGACAATCATTAACTTTTGTAATGGACTTTGATATTCGGATAAAGTCATTAAAATATTTTAACGGAACATGTTTTTTAACAAATATTTTAACTCTCTTCAGTTAACAAAATAATCCACGAGGCTTTTAGCTTTCATATTCATAAAGTTAATAAGCCCATTACTGGAAATATAAGTTTTCAGTTTTGAATTTTAACCGAAAGTTCAATGCAAAACATACTCTAAAGAAAATATATAGTTTCAGAGATAAATCAATTAAAAGTTAAATGAGATCAAGAGATTTTAATTATAACAGAATTGTTTTAAAAGAATTTAGAGAAACTCCTTTATTGCAAATACTTTTCCGAATAAGAATGTTAATAAAAGCATTAACTTAATTAGTTACGTAAGATTAGTCGCAGATTATCCCACCTATAGACATGATTAAACTAATACATATGGAGCACAATTTGAATGAAGAATAAGATAAATGCACGGACAAATTAATTATGAATGTTCAAGTATGTACTTGTGTATTAAATTGAGCTGCGTTTCATAATCAACACTTTATTTATTCCCAAGGAAAAACTCAAATTGCATTATTTGAACCAACTTGCATAACTAAATGATAATGTAACTAAGTATATTTAGTACTTAAGAATCCGTCAGGGGGTTCGGAAAAAAAAAAAATAAAAACAAATAGTACTGAACTCAAAAGGTTTTCTTGTGTCCAAATACTTATTACAATGATTTTTTCCTCCATTACAGTTATCAGATATCTAAAATTCAAAATTTTAATTGGCTGCAGCATTCTGGAATGCCTCCAATAAAAATGTATTTAGTTCCCAGATCTTAAGGTTCGCGTGCAGTGCGTAATAAGATTAAGATTTTAAAACTTGGAACGGTGTATCCGTTAGTCGGAAACTAAACAATTTTAAAATGTTTTACTTTATTATTAAATTTTTGCAGTATATACAGAAGAATTGTTTGTTCTATTTTACAATACAATCTACGATTAGCGATTGGTTTAATATTCTTAGTTCAACTGTGTTTAATGCTCTCTACGAAACTATTAGAGTGCCCAGTAAAGCCTTGCAACTATGCACAGATATACAGGGTTTTAAATCTTTTTCAAGAAACTACAGAAAAACTTTTATTTAATAATACAGCAATCATTTCAACTAATTTTATTTAGTTTCATTTAAGTCTCTTGTAAAGTAGATTTATTCTTAGTCTTAATTGAGCACTGTGGCTGAGGAATGTTGCATGCTACGTTCGAATTCTTCCAAGCTGAGCGCCTGGTTCATATTTAAAAGAGGTAATTTACCAGCTGATGCTCTGGCAAGCAATTCGGGGGAGAACCATTGGGCTAATTGATTTGTTTTAGGCGATAAACGTTCATCTCTGTGATAGTTCATGGGACCGAGACTATTATTTTTTATTAAATTTGCCGACTCGGAGCCTTCGGGGACACCTATGTGTAGTCCAAAAACAAATAAATTAATTAATTTATTAATAAAAAAATAATTGTTCCTATTTACCTCCCATTGGAAGTGTCTGCATTGGTAGATTCGTTTGTCGGTGCATATCTCCATGCAGCAATCGATGTCTGGGCGGCTGTGATCGTTGCTGTTGCTGCTGTATATAATGATGTTGCTGCATCTGGGAGAGTCCATCGGCATATGGAACATTCTGATGTGTTGGGGGTCCAACGTGTATTATTTCATTGTTTATTATTTCCGTTGGTGGCATGGACTTCAGTTTTTGCTGATGGATTTGTTGCATGTCATTATTTAATAAAAATGCTAGCGGAGGCATTTGTTGGGGACTGGAGTTTAATGTTCCTTTCAGAATCGGACGACCTATAAATTTAAAAGTCAGTTTATTAATTCAATTAAATTGTTTGTCGGTTTTTAGCTAAACGATATGTCGATGAGTACATGCGTATAAAAAAGATAAATTGTGATGTAATGTCAGGCATATTACCAAAAGACTTGGATGCATGTGTTGTTTGCAAGCTTCCGGGAGGCCATTTATTTAGCTGATTTCGCGATTGAGTCATCTGTGGCGGTAATTTTGGAGAAATTTGCGGGCTGTGGGCATTTAATTGATGCTGCATGGCATAGTTTCCACCCAAAATCATCCTAGGCTGCAGTTGGTTAATCGCAGACATTACCGGTGACTCGTTCATCATATTGAGTACGGCCGGTTTGGGGTGGTGCGTGGGTAATTGATATTGGTGATACTGCTGATTGTTGGCACTGTTATTGAGCGCGGATGTTGATTCTTTGTCTGCAGTCATCTTTCTTAAAACTGATGTTGGAGTAAATGCCAAAGGTGTCGGCGAATTACTATGCCTTTGGTGTTGGTTTATGCCTTGGCTCGGAGTGTTTTGGGTAAATACATCTAAAATACATCAAAGTATGTTTATAATAAAGATATTTTTACATAGCAAACAAAAATAAAATATATACATATATTTATATTATATATATATATATATATATATATCATACGCTGATTTTACAATTAAAACGTAAACTCAGACAGCTCACCTTCGGGGCCGATATTCTTGTTAAAGAGTTGATGATTTTTCACGAGATTATGGGGATGTATGTCATTCGTATACGGTAAATGTTGTACGGTATTTCGCCCGGAATTGGAACATTCATGAAGTACTGCTGCAATAACCTCCCTAGATTGATGCGTTGTGTTGGGATTATTCAGTTCCTTATTTAAAAATTCAATTGAAACATCTCCTCGAACAACTCCTGAAATTCAGGAATAAATTTGTTTTATTTATACACGTCATATTGAATTTTGCTTTAACAATATTTAATTTAAAAAAAAAAAGGCGTATATCCTATCAGATGTAATAGTTACTTATAAATGACCTACCTTGCAGCAATTGTTGAATCTCCATGCGTTTATGTGCTTGCAGAGGTAAGAACCCAGATATGTTTGAATCATGCACACCCGGCGTCAAAACGGGATGCATTTGATTTTGGGAAATCATTTCAATGTGCCTTTGTGGCGCAGTATCAATTTTTTTGGAATGCTGCTGCTGATATAGTTGTAGTTCATCTTCTTTTATTTGGTTTTCTTGAACTCGAATAATGTGCTGCTGGCGGTCTTGAGTATTAGAGCTTTGTCCGCTACGAACGACTGCATTCATAGGATTCGACGACTCAGTGCCCGGATGAGATATGTTCTGGGAGCCTAATTGCTGCAGAAGTCTTTTAAAAGCTTCGGTATCCTTGGTAACAGCTTTGTCTCTCTGTTCTGTGTGAATTGTTGGGTGTGCATTGGCCGTTGCGTTTATTGTTATATCGTTTTCCGGACGCAAATCCACTTTTCTCATTTGTGCTTCCAAATCTTTCACACTAGGAATTTCTAAAAATTACAGTATACAAAAAATAAGCATGAAATAAGGATAAATATTTAACACTCTTTAGCGGGTATGTGCAACTCACAAATGCTGAGCTTAACGAAAATATCTTGGAAAATAATATTTGGCATATAAAAACCCATTTATCGAGTAATCTTGCCTATAAGACATAGTGATCCGAAGCTGATAAGAATTTGAGAATAAGAAATCTCATGCTTCGTATATATTTGTATAAGTAAATATTATATTGTCCGATGTAATGTTAATGTAAAGAACGAAGTCGAACTTAAAAAAACGGAGTTTGTTTAGGATATCTTAAATAATATTAAAGTGCAAGTTGTTTAACTTTCGATCGATCATTCATATGGCAGCTATATCATATCAAGCCGACTCTGACATATGTACCGTAACAGGAGAACCTATACAAATATTCAAGGTGAACATAAAGCATAGCAACAGACAGACAGATAGACGGACAGATAGGACGGACAGATAGAAGAACGTGACTATTTTAATTTGGCTGTTGATGCTAATCTAGATATTTTTACTTTATGGGCTCGAAGATTTCTTTTATGCTTCACACATGTTATGACAAAATTATAATATCCATCAGCTGGCGTTTATGCACAAGTATTTGAAGTATTAATTTGATTTTTCGTTCGGAGCGAGCAGCCTGACGGGCAACACCAATATACTCTTCACGCGTTGAACCAAGTATAGTAACAATATCGGATGTATCGCAACACTAAAGACAGTTAAAAACAAGTAAGAGGTTCTAGTCGGGAGCTCCCGACTAGGGGATACCCTGAACCCTCTTCTTCCAACATCAAATGCATATATATATATTCTATTTTAGAAGCTATATGTCAAGTTTGGTGACCTAGCTCTTATTATTTACCCAAAAACCAGGTTATCGATATCAATTTGTATCAAATGTCTATAGCAGTCTCTAGGCATCTATTGGAGCTGATCAGGAATATATATACTCTATGGGGTCGGAGATGCTTCCTTCTGCCTGTTAAATACATTTGCATTTTGCACAAATACAACATACCCCCTATACCCATTTTTAATGGGTTCAGGGTATAAAAATGTAGAGCTATAAATGAAAAGCCTAGGCAGAGACTTTAAAAGTTGCAGTTGGACACCAAAAATGTTGTGGACAGTCACACGCAGAGACGTCTTAACTGTTGAATATCACATAAAATAGGGATAGTGCGTAACTAGGCTTTTCTCATAAAAACCACTCTGCATGTAAATACATAACATAATTGCTTACCTTGCGTATCTGGCGTAGAAGCGTGTCCAAAGTAAAGCTGATCGTTAGTATTTGCTGGCTCCTTGGGTGCAAACCACTGACTGAATCGCGACGTCCCTTTGACATCGCCTTGCACCTCGCTATCATTACCCTGAAATGGTCGGGATACGTTTTAAATAGATAACGAATATTTGTATGAATTCTATTGCCATAGTTTATATTATTTATATATTTGTCAACGCACAGCCCAAACCGTAAGAGAAAGAATTAGTTACTTTATATTATGGAGGTGCACGCCGCGAAGGGAGTTTGGGATTTTCCATACGCAAATGTGGAAACAAGTTTGAGGCTCTAGTCGGGTTCTTATAGGTTCTGAGATCCTTGTGTTCATACATATGGACAGATGAACAGACGGACAGACAGAGGGGCATGGCTAGATCGACTTGGCTATTGATGCTGATCAAGAATATATATACTTTATGGGGTTGGACATGTTTCCTTCTGCCTGTTAAATTATACCCCCTTTACCCATTATTAATGGGTGCAGGGTATAAAAACGCGAAGAGTGGTTGTGTTTGTGATATTTTTTGTTTGACATTCGATCGGACTTAAACGCATTATCAAAGCTATTGGCTCAAATTCACAATGGAAATGGGTGTAAAAGATTTGGTGGTCAAGTTTCGGATTAAAACTTATTTCTGGGAATAATTATTAAAATTCGTTTGGGACGTTTTTGTGGAGAATACTAAATACGATTTTTAAAGCAAAGTTTTAAGTCTTGTTCGACTCCACTCACAACTGTGCAAGATATGCGGAAAATGGATACAAGAAAGATTTTTAATTACCATCTGATTGTCTTCAAATTAACTTTCTGATATATTATACTTTTATATTATATTATACTTTTCGCGAAATCCTCCCATATTGGATCAACAATGTATGCTCCTTAGAAACAGTTTTTAAAAAAATTTATTTGAGACGTCCCATTCTTTGTGGAATATGGAGTTAAGCGCAATCGTCTTTACGTCACTTATACGTGATTCACAGTTTTTGAACTTATGTTTACTTATTTCCAAATCAGTACATAAAAACTTAGAGAATAAGTAATTCAGCATCAACTTCAAACTTGTTTTCAAGCGGGGTCAAAGGTTTCAATAATGAAAGTTTACTTATCGACGGAAACCATTGGTCGTAACATATGGATTGGCCTTAAACATATTTTCAAAAAGGAGATTGCAGATCGAGATGGTACGGGTAGAGTTAAATTTTCCACGGGCGATAACTTGGTGGTATAGTTATTAGCCTTCCAAGGCCTCTCAAGAAGTGGAAGATGACTGCTTCTTAATGTTATATGAAAATGCAAATCATTTAAGCGGGTTTCTCTTCAATAACTGGACCCGGTATACTACACCGTACGAAAATCACAAACGAATATTTTATTCAATTTGTCGTATTGTTTGTGATTAAAAATGAAAGCGTTGATTCTTCTCTTCATTAAATTATAAATTAATAAATTAACATATTCATGCCATAAGAGTTGAGGATAGCAATGCAATTTCATACTATTTGAAGAAATTTAGCAGCCGCAGAAATTAATAAAGAGAGCATTTAAAATTATTTTTTTAACCGGCCGGATCCAAATGTATGATATTTCACTACTTCGCTTTCATCTATAATCTTATAAACGATATATGCGCACATTCAAAAAAGAAAAATAGTTTTAGATATTTAACAATTCGAATTTTCCTTGAAGTACATTATTTCTGCATTTTTCCGAATAACAGGCTTTTAGAATTTCTAATATGTTTATAAATTCACTTACCATAAGTGCATGATCCATAGGATCCATATTAAGAAAGGCATCAAAATTGAACTCAACATCAGTTTTTGGAATCGCCTGAACGTTATGATTTTGTATACTAGGCGCAACGTTTGACATTGTAATGTCCGAATCCGAATCCTTTTTGTTGTTACTGTTCGATTCGACGACGTTTAGGCTGGCTATGCTACTGCTTCTGGATGTTGGGGTTGCTGCTTGGTTTGTTTTTAGATCGAGTTCTTTGCTCGCATCTTCTTTGACGATCTTCAAATTCGCAGAGCTCTCGCCCTCAAAGTCGTCAAAGCCATGCAAATCTATCGTTTCATGCTGCGATGTTGGCCCAGCACTAAACCATTCGGGTTCTGGTCTATCGTGTGTTTGGTATATGTTCATGCGCTTGCCTCGACTCTGAATGTTGCTATCGCCAAAATTAAATTTGTCTTTGTTGGAAGTGCGACGTCCGGTTTGCACCATTTTTTTTCCATCATTCTGATCACGATTATCGATTCCTTTGCGTTCATTAAGTCTGCGATCGCGATCTCGATCCCGTTCTCCTACATAATCGCTGGTGCGTTCGCTATGTTTCCCAGAACTCGTTCGCTGGCGCTGCTGATTGGCCAGACTGCCATTTTCAGGTCGGTCCTTTTCATGATTATTCAGTAAAATGTCTGCATCCTTGTTTTTATATTCCCAATTATCAGTTCGTGGCAATAGTCGGCCACTGCCAATGCGTCGTTCTTGAACATTTAGGCTTCCAACCTGACGGCCCGATGAAAATGTTGGCGATAACGCCAACGTTTGTTCATTCTCTTGTGGATTCGAATGTTTCTCACCGCGTTCCCACTCGCCTGGTGCAGGAGCTCTGCGTATGGGTGATCCCCTGCGTATGGGTGAGCCTAACGAGCTGTTAATGGCACGTAAATGATTTTTCAAATCGATATTGGCATGGGCAGGAGTCGCAGTGTTTTCCTTTGCATTCATCTTACCGTCTTCATAATTAACCGAGGCATTCGTCTTTTCGTTTTGGGATTCATTTTGATCAATTCTTTCTCCTGAAGCAATAACAAACCGTTTTTTAGCAAACGCCGGCATTAAATGCGACGAAGATATGCTTCGATGATCTATTTTGGGTGACTTATACGATGCACAGAGATTTCCGGTGGCTGATGCTAAGCTAACCTGTACGTCTTCTCCCCCAATCTGATCGCTAGAACTGAACCGTTGATAATAATTGTGGGCTCGTTCCCGGTTCCGCAAGGCGCGACGAGAACTTAACAGTCCATTTGAAATAGTAAGACTTGAGCTTTCCCTTTCTGGGGACAGCCCAGTTTTATTCCCGTAGCTGTTGCTGTTGTTGTTTGATTGAATCACGTTTATTTTCCAAAAATTTAACGTTTGCAGCTCTGTTCGGTTTGCACAATGTGGTCGTTCTCTCGAACTTCCTTCATGTCGAAGAGCCAGTAAATCAGACCGTGAGTATCTGAGAATGCGACATTTATGGATATTTTTATTCAATTTGGTTGTGTCAGTTGTCGGGCACCCATACATATATACATGCACACAAACACAAACACACACATAAGATACGCATATGCAAATATTGGAGAAAGTATGAAAAAAGCTGAGCACTTTTATTTTTTAAGAACAAAGCATAGAATATGTATATAATTACGTATGTATGTATAGAATGCCCTTTGATACATTAAAATATGCTTTTACGAAAGGACTATCTTTTGTATATCACAAGGCAGAAAAAATTCACTTACCTCGAACTATCTTTAATAATGTCCATTTTGTACCTTCTTCTTGCTCTTTTGTCCTCGCTTTTTTTACTGCACTTTTACTTTTACAAATAAATATTAAAATACGTACGTATGCTGCTTTTGTAAACTGACATGCATACATACACACATTAAGAGTTTTTTATTTTTTAAACTCAGCAAAGTTCAAAAACGTCTTTATAACTAAATGCTAAATCTGCTGAATCAATTACAGGCATTTAAATTGTTTAAATAATAAGAATTCACAAGCGTTCGTTGTTGTATCTCAACACACCTCACACATATGCACATACATATGTAGGTACGTTGAAATGTGATACTTAGTTAGGTACATCTGATTTTGATTTGTTTTACTTGTTGCGTTGTCACATTTTCTTTTTTTTTGTTGCAATTAAAAGTATTCTTAATATTTCACTTTACGTTGGTGTGCAGTTTTCCATGAAATATTCACTTTTTTAGAGATTTGCTTAATATTGAACTAGTTCAATCAAACTGGTATTTACTAGGGATGAATAAATGTTGTATCGACTTATATCAAACGATGTGTACAAATAGTTTTTTGCAAGCTCTTGAAATAAAGACAGTTTTGCTGGAATGTCCATATAAACATTTCATGTTAAATATAAAATTGGTTTAATACATCTGGACATTCAATTATATATATACGTCATGCGAAGTTTCAGCTATCGATTGTCAAATGCTGGAATGTCGCCTAAAAAATATATGGCCACACTGTTTACTTTATTTATATCACTAACCATACACTGTATAGATGTGCGTCAAATTAGCGGCGGTGAGTTAGCGTCGAATTTTGGTACTTGGTATCGGAAAAGGAATCGGTCACTTTTAAATGCATTTATTTATATTTTTAAGCACAAAACCAAATAAATTTAAATGCAGAATTGCAATAAATTAAATTATTTACTATTTACATTCATTTATTTTTGAATTTTAATTTATAATATGGGTAAACCAAGGGGTTAACATTTAGGTTTTCACCATTCCATAAATATCTAAATTTAGGGACGATGGCCCCGAAAACCGCATATACAAGATTGAAGGCTATAGTTTCTCCTAGGCAACTGTGAAAATTTGATTAAAATCGTCGGTACCATTTTTAAGATATTTGGAAAAGAGTGCAACAACCCCCAAGTCAGCCCCATATAAAATGACCGCAAAAAATCAACCTTGTTTTCGAGCCCTTATATCTTAGCTCAGAGACAATGGCAATGGCCTCAATGCACGGTATACCCTCTTGTAGATACAAATTTTAAGAAGCTTTAGGCACTAATTTTAAGTAAATGGACGGTACAGATTTTGAGAAAATTAATTAATTGTAAGCCAACCTTATATAGTTCATTCAAAAAGTCTCTCGAACTGCTAGTTCCTACGTGAACTGAATCACTGCCTGGCATCAGTGTTGAACAATTTTGTACAGAACTGAGCGGGAACCAACTCAATTTGAATTATATGTAATCATGAAAAAATGGAAAGGACTCACAGTAAATTAAATTAATAAGTCAAAGAAAATTATATGAGAAGTATTAAGTCATACTTAATAGCGCAGTTTATGGAAAAATTGCATTTTTCCAATTTTTTCTTTACATCCTATGTTAATGCAAAAATGTTAATGCAGAAATCATTCTGTTAAATGGCAGCCATATTTTAAACTTTATTATTTAATTTCTCCGAAAACGGCCCCAAATGCAAGAGCAAGATTTATCAATCATTTTGCTATTTATTTCATTTATTTCACAGTTGCCTAGGAGAAACTATAGGCTTTAATCGTGTATATGCGGTTTTCGGGGCCATCGTCCCTAAATTTAGATATTTATGGAATGGTGAAAACCTAAATTTTAGCCCCTTGGTTTACCCATATTATAAATAAAAATTCAAAAATAAATGAATGTAGATAGTAAATAATTTAATTTTTTGCAATTCTGCATTTAAATTTATTTGGTTTTGTGCTTAAAAATATAAATAAATGCATTTAAAAGTGACCGATTCCTTTTCCGATACCAAGTACCACAATTCGACGCTAACTCACCGCCGCTAATTTGACGCACATCGCTAATTTGACGCACATTGTATAGACATACCAAATGGCACTTTTAATCGAAACGAGTCGACCCCAATGGTACCTGCGACTATTTTAGTGTGCCCAGACAGAGTAAGAGTTGCAGCCGAACGCCGGCCTCAAAAGCCGAACGTTCAGTATGAAGCCGCATCTCGCTCAGCGCACAACGTCGCGGGTGATGCGTTTTCTTAATATATGTGTGTGTGCCATTTTTTAATCCTTCCAGCCCAAAAACATATATGTGTATGCATGTGCCTCGCTCTCACTCATTGCTCGCGCACTTGCATCCATCTCTTACTCCCTGCATAGCTTCCCACAAAACCCCGAGAACTCATACGTTTGTGTTGTGTGGATGTGCGCACAAGTAGATCGCGGCGTTTGTCGCGAGTCAGAGGTTATTTCTTCAATTGTGTGCCTGTGGTAGCAATAGGCACTCTTATTTAAATGCTCTATCATGTATTTCTTCGTCCAGTCAGGCATGATGAGAATAATTTGATAACATTTTATTTAATACACAATTAATTGACCTAAATAAAATATTTATATTTATTTTCTGTTTACTGTAGGGACCTATTTTGTTTAAAATACAAAAATATCTAAGTCGTATTTCTGCAAGGGTAATTCATCGTCGGCTTGTCGAAGAATTTAAGAAAAGACCAAAAATTGACGCACACTCTTTCAAGTAAGCAGTTGTGTGAAATTATTAAAGGGTTTGGCCTGTTCATGTGCAAAATTGCTATTTTCCATGCTGGTTGTAGGGGTAAGGGTACCTGATCGCTGGCATGTGTGCATAACTTTTTGGGTCGGGCAACCACGCACACTAACACACTTTTCTATATGGATGGAAGCATTTATGCGCTTGTGTGCCTGTTGCTTGCCTGTCCCCGATGCAATATACACGATACACACACACACACACATTGAAACGATCCCTAAACATAGAGAGAGCATTGAGAGCTGAGAGTAAGTGCGAGCGAGATAAAAGTTAACAGCGTTGCCGTTCTATCGCACAAATCATACGGAAGAGAGTGCGCCAAGCACTTTCCTGTAGAGTAAGCGGTTCAAAAATACATCATATGTATATCTTACTCCCTTACTCGCGAGTTTGGACCAGATGCCACCGATACATTTTGTGTCTACTTCTGGTACTCATGTCTAGTCTATATGTTGTTTGGTTAGTGGTATTATAATATTGTCGTGAATTGTGTAACGTATAGAAGGAGACAGCTCCGACCTTATGAAGAATATACATTCAACAGCCGAGTCTATACAGCCGTATACGCCTGTCCGTCTGTCTGTTTCTTTATTCACTACCTTTTCGTTTTAAATTAATTTCAGGCGATTTCACACATACCGCAAAATACTTTTCTGCTTGGTAAATATAGGAGTAAAAGATTTGGCGGCTGACGTTTCGGATTTAAATTCATTTCCACGAGTCTGCATAAAAATTCGTTTGAGATGTGTGTCAACATTTGCAGAATGTAAACTTTATTTGCTTTATGGCTTAAAACATATTATCTCTATATATAAAACTGTTTGTCCTGACTGACTATATGACTGACTGACTGATTGGTGATCAACGCACTGCCTAAACCGTAAGAAAAACATTTGTATGAACCAACCAATCGGCCTCAAACTCAATTCCAAAGATCTTTGTGCAAATATATCTAATGGAAATTTCACATTTATTGCAAAATCATCCTTGGTGGAAATAGATGTCATAGATTTATAATGGATCTAATTGTTGAACGTCATGACAAAATCGAAGCTTTCACCGGTGGAAAGTGCAATTCAACAATTTTTATACCCTGAACCCATTAAAAATGGGTTTAAGCAAAGACAATATAAACAGCGTTGCATTCAAATGTATGGGCGTTACTCATCTTAGATTTTATTTTGTCTTTGGTATAAGGGTATATTGTATTTGTGCAAAATCCAAATATATGTAACAGGCAGAAGGAAGCATCAATAGCCGAGTCGATCTAGCCATGTGCGTCTGTCTGTCCGTCCGCCCGTCCATCCGTCCGTCAGTATGTATAAATGCAAGGATCTCAGAACCTATAAGAGATAGAGACTTGAAATTTTAGATGTAGGTGATCCTATTTCTCGCGCAGATCGGTTTTTCGATAATCGATAACTTACTCCGTTTCCAAGCAATCGATAAAAATCGATATCGATATTCTGTTTTTGGGCGATTTTGGTAAATAATAAGAGCCAGAGTCACCAAACTTGACATATAGCTTCTAAAATAGAATATATATATATGCATTTGATGTTGGAAGAAGAGTGTTCGGGGTATCCCCTAGTCGGGAGCTCCCGACTAGAACCTCTTACTTGTTTTTTTGTGAAAATTTGAGTTTTGTCCGATTTGCTTCAAACTTATTTTTAAAGTTCTACATAGGAGCTTAGAGAATACCTGCTTTAGCTATTTCGGGAACTTACACCTGCAACGGTGGTTAATAAGCGGAAAACGATTGTATGAAAGTTGTTTGTTTACTGGGAAAATCTATTATTATTGATTGCCACTAGCAAGGCCGGGTTATCCCCGCTAGATATACAAAATTCGGTTGTCTAGTGTTATTATCTTGTGTAAAATAGTTAAAACATTAGTTTTATTTCGGTTTAATCAATTTATTGTTGGACCTTAAACGTTACAATCGGAATATATGTTCGATTTGTAAGTTTTTGATTTACTTAAACGAAATTATTTTATTCAACGCCATTCTCATTACTTCTTGCTGTTGTATCACAGCAATATAATTGTCTTGGTGTATTGGGGCTCGGTTGTCGGTGGTGGCGCTGTCGAAAAGAATTTAGATGGGACCTTAGGAATACCGGAAAAGTGACCCGCTGTGGAATATGTAGACTTGGTTGGGTCGAAAATAATTTATCGGTGTCAAGAGTGGGTCCATTCTTTTTAAGATATTGACGTTGGCTTTGTTGATTTGAGCACTTTCGCCGGGACAACCTTTTTGATCCATTTGCGTCCTAAAAAAATTAATCGTCAAATTATATTATGAAGTGTAATTTACATATATAAAAATAGCCTACAATTTTAACAAAAAATATAATACAATTTTATAAAAAAAAATCTAGTAAATGCTGTACATAGAAAACAGAAAAGTTGGTCTACAAAAACTCATATTTCGACTGATGCCTACCATAAAAAATAAATAAATATTAAATTTTGACTCATATAAACACTGTGAAAGTAATAAATGTCAGGTTTGGTCAATATATCTTGATAAGCAAAACAGTTTCTTATTCAGGAACTACGATAAATATATGATCTGAACGATCTGAACGCAACTAAAAGCTGGACCCGTACACACTTTCAATAAGCTTTACAACTGAGGCACGAGCTTCCATAGATTTAAACATGCAGACGGACAGCAAGAATCTTGAATAT